CCTGTTAAATTAGCATGCAGCATTCCCTCACAGCCGAGCTCTGTACTCCAATACCCAGCATTAGTGGTTGGCTGCTAGGGCGTCTAGCAACCAACCATGTGGTTGGTCAACCCCCAGCATTCAGTGAAGGAGAACAGAACTTCCATCAGTGCTCCGCCTCCTCTCCCTGCTTCACTCAGACTGAGTCAGGATGTGCCATAATTAAAAATAAAAAAAATACTGTGATACTGAGCCCACCCAGTCCAGATCCCAATAAACCCCTCCCATGAGTCCTGTCTGCTGAGCCCCACCCACTAAGTCCTGCCCGCTAAGCCCCACCTACCAAGTCTCTGATCCAACCCTCGTGGAGGTCATATTAAAGAAATTCAATGTGGGGGGCACTGTGTCTGTTCCCAGCAGTCAGTGTTGGGAGACATTAATGGAGGGACCTCTAATGAGGGGGAAAGTGATGGGGGAACCACAGTGAGAAGGACACTGCTGCCAGGAAGGTCCAATGAGGGAACACTGATGGTGGGGAGAGAGAATACACAGGATGAAGTGAAGCTGATGGTACAATACACAGGATGAAGATGATGGTACAGAACACAGGATGGAGATGACGGTACAATACACACAGAGGATGGAGATGATGGCACAATATACAGGATTGAGATGTTGGTAGAATACACACAGGGAATGGAGATGACAGTAGTGTACACACAGAGGTTGGAGATGACGATAAAATACATTGGATAGAGATGACGGTAGAATACACATAGAAGATGGAGATGATGGTAGAATACACAGAACGGAGATGACGGTAGAATACACAGAATGGAGATGATGGTAAAATACACAGGATGGAGATGATGGTAGAATACACACGGAAGATAGAGAAGGCAGTAGAATACAGAGAATGGAGATAATGGGATTATCTGCTGTACAGTATGAGGACACGCTGGGTGTTGGAAGGTATTTCGAAATATTTGTGAGTGGTCTGGCATTAAGTGCTTTTACACAATATAAAGTTGTAGCGGTATTACACTATTGGAATTTTCTTTCCTGTCCAGGAGCCCTAAATAGTCCTAAAAGGCGCTATACTCACCACTATCTGGTTTATGTTGGTCGCCTCACTGGTGGATAGTGGAAGGATCATTATTGGCACTGGGAAGATATGAAGTTCTTATATTATTTTATTTGTGTGTCACTGGGACTTTTTTATTGCTTTGGACACTATTAATATTATTTGATCACTATTATTTATCTATGAATTAAGTTTTTTATTTTTATATGTTTCTCAATATCAATTAATTTATTTATTTGAGTTAGGTTGTGTTTTGTGCTGTTTTCTACAATTTTCAATTTTGGTTCAAAATACCTGTGTACAGCAGAATCTCATTACCCTGGTATATTATTGTTTTTTCAAGGGGTGGTCCTGTGCGCTGGGGTTTATTTTTGTATTTGTCTCGAGAAAATATAATTTGTTTTCAAAATTAGCAGTGTTTTTTATGCAATAAAAAAAAACAAACAGTGGTGATTAAATACAACCAAAAGAAATCTCTATTTATGTGAAAAAATGCTATACATTTCATTTGGCTGTAAGTAGCTTCAAGTAGCACAGTGCTGAATAGCAAAAAAAATGCTCTAGTCAAGAAGGGGGTAAAACCTTCTGGAGAGCTCAACTGGTTAAGAGAATTCTGTTATAAAGAGTTATGCAGGACATATATGGCTCAAATGCTGAAAGAATTTGTTTAAGAAAATTGTAATTAGGATTTTTCGTTCGAATTTCACACCATTAGTGGGCTGGAGCATCGGCTGATTTTTATGCAGCCACCGAATTTGAGTGATTAGACATGTTGGAAATTTTTTGAAAAACTAACAAATTTCTAATCATTGATGGAAGAATCGTGTGAGATATGTAATCCAAAAAGAAATGAGCATGAGCCGTGACCTGAAAAGAAAAGATTCCCAGCCATAAAAAATCTTTTCTGTAGAACATGAGGTGAAATTAAAGGATTGGTTGGTTGAATTTTTAAATCAAAAAGCAAAAAAATTCCAATTTTTCTATGGAAAATTCATTCAGAATTTGACCCGTGTATGGCCTGCCTAACTTTTTTTTTTTATGACAGGGCAGGTCAGACCCACACCTGAATAATTTACAACATCTAACTTGTTAATTAAAATATTCAAAACCAATGACCTTGTTCTCAAAATGTTTTTATCATAGAGGTTCAGGTACTTGTCCTGTGAATAACCATAATTGCCTTAACTATTTTTCAGTAAAGGCTGCATCCACACGGGCATTCAGCCATGGTGCAAATCCCAGTGGCAGCACACTTTATGTGCGTCCAGCCACGATCACCGCTGACAATCTGTCATTGCAGTATACGGCCTTGGCGGCCGCAGTCATCCCCTCACAGCTGTCAAACCCAGCAACAGAAATCTTTAGATTCCTCCCCTTGGGATTCGCACTGTGGCTAAATGCCCATGTGAGTTCAGCCAAGGATATGGAAATATAAAATGTGTGTTTGTCTGTTAAATTCCTTTTTATCAATTATTAGGATTTAGATGAAGATTAAATCACATTTTAGGAGCTGATAATGTTAAATTTATAGCAGTGAAATGAATATCTGTTTATGCAGTAGAAATTCAATCATCTTCCTAAAACTTGCTTCAAGTAGCAATTAAAATGCTATTGACCAGGTTTGAACTAATATATATTTTCATTTGTTTATACTGTTCTCTGAGTGTATTAATATTAACACATCTTTTGAACAAGGGAGTACATAAAAATCAAGGGGCCCAATACAGGGGTGTATTTACCACAAGGCAAACAAGGCATTTGCCTAGGGCAGCATTTTTCAGGGGGGGGGATGGAAGAAGGGACACATGCAGCATGCTGACCAGGTGGGATCCAAGAGAAGTTGCAGGCTGCTTGATGATGTATGGAGAGCCTGACTCTCCTTACCGGAGATGTCTGGAGCTGTGAAGGGTAGTTAGTGGAAGGGGGGTTAGTGGAAGGCTCTCTCAGGTGGGGGGTGGGCAGGATTGTTGTTGGTCAATGTCAGGCTTTCTCCGTGGGGGGGGGGGGGGGGTCGCCCGATTTATGTGTTGCCTAGGGCAGCAAAAAACCTAAATACACCACTGTCCCCATAGCAGAAACACTCATAGGCCGCCCAAAGAACCACACAATGGTACAAAACCCTAATTGCCATGGCAGGTGACAAAGAGCTGAAGAGGGCATGGGGGTGATATTGAGGTATGTAAAGATCTGTGGAGAGGGATGATTGGTATTATTCATCCATGAGACTAAAGAAAAGATATCCGTGTACATTAACTAAAAGTACACCTATCCTTTCAAGTGACCGTGTTACTGAGTTAACATAATGACACTAAGACAAGCCTATAAAAGGAAAATATAAATACATTTATGGCATGCAGTGGCCTAAAACCTCATGGTATTACAATTCTCCAGCTACTGCTGGTATCAAAAAACTATCCAATATATGATTCCTATCTGGGTATGGCGCTTCCTCCTGCTGATCCCTATGTCACTAATGTATTCTGTAGCAGGAGAAAGCATGGTACATATAGGGCGATCATGTAATGGACGTTTCCAGAAATATTAAATGTCAAAACTGGCAGCCATGAATCTGCAATACAGCAAAGTTTTTTAGGCCTCCTACAAAGGTATTTATCTGCTTTGCTTTTAGAGTCATCATAAGAAGCTAGTGATAGGCTCCTAAAGCAAATCACCTTCTTGCATTGGTGTCACTAAGCATGGGCATTAAGGCACATAAATTCCTACTGACACCAGTGGAAGCATTTTTTTTATGCCTTGCCAAGTGACTTAGGAAAAGCTCAGTGTTTAGAATGGAATATCAAATGTATAGCACTGCATAAAGAATGAGGCTGCATAGGGGATAGAGAGATATAAAATAAACAATGCAGCATACAGAAGGAGGTGCTGTGCAATATGAGATTTACAACCTACTGTAAAGAAAGAGGTGATGAAAAATGAGCTAGTTTGGGATAGGGAATGTACTGCACTCCATACAGAATGGGATGATGTGGAATGTAAATTGTACAGCACAGTGGGCAGAATGGGTTACAGTGATACACAAAATGTATAGCACAGAGTTGAGATGCACCAATACCATTTTTTTTACGAGTACTTTTATATTTTCAAGGCAAATTTTTCTTTATTATATTTTTGTATCAAATTTAACAGAACAGGACATTAGAAATAGTGATAATATGTACATGTACATAAATATACAGACATCACAATTGTGGAGATGATCCATGAGGGTAAGTTAAAATGATTCTATACAACGGAAAGATTAAAGGATCAACAGCATATTGAATTAAATTCAGATGCATTCATTATCCGAATTCGAATTATTGAACTAATTCAAAATCTAAATTCATTTCCCCATGGGCCCAAACTACTAATGTGTCATGTGATGTCATCAGAATGAAATTAATGCATTTGTTAATTTGTTATAACTTTTTTCAGATTTGCTGATATTCGTTACCATGCAGACATTCGTATACATCCAAATCTTCAGAAATTAAATTTTCATCCAAAAACAGAATCAAAATGCACATGTCTATCAAATGATTTCATCTGTTAAAGCCTCAGAGAAAGTGAGTAGTAGATTACTACCTTTGCCTGCTCTGTTCACAAGTGACAGCAGGATTCAGGGGAGCTGTACCAGCTCACTGACAAAGGTCTGGGTGGGGGCCAGGTTAACTGCACAGGTGTCTCTGTTTCTTAATATTTCATAACCATTTAACACATAATAACATAAATAAACCCACTGCTAAACGAACTTCAACGTGCCCACACCATTCATTACTTTCAATATGATCTGCACTCACCAGATAAAATGGACTCTTAGTTGATTATTTATTTATTAATTTTTGCACTGTGGTTTTAGTTGATATTTAACACATAATGTTCAAATGTTGTTAAAGCAGAACAAAACACTCTCAATCTATATTAAAGTGTTACTAAACCCAGGATCCTGCATTCACTATATCTGGTCTCCCACAGTACACATGACATGGAAATGCAATTATTTTAGTAAATATAAACTGCTAAATACCTTTTCTCATCAGCAGTTAGAGCAGTCTTGTGACTTCAGCTGAGCACTGGTTAAAGCTTGTAGGAGGAGTTTTCTCTAGGAGGATGCAGAACCTCTGACCTCTGTCTGGACAGTGCTGATTGGCCCAGTGCTAAGCACATGCACTCTCCCAAGAAAATAAAAACCTCTCTATCAATACACACTAAACTGAGCATGTGCATGTGGCTTTGGGTTCAGTCTGTCTTATCAGGAGATAAGACATGGATATTTGAAGAAGAGGAGGGCAGAGAAGACAGGATCAAACAGCCTTTTAAGAAAAAAATAAATTCACAATTTTTTGCTGGAAAGGTGGAAATCTGCTCGAAGAGCACAGACAGCAATAACAATTATTTTTCAGTACCGTAGAGGAAGGTTAGAACCTCTGAAAGCTTTTTTTTTTGTCTGTGTCCTTATTGCAGTCTTTGTCTCACTCCCTGTAGATGAACCAATAGATTAAAGCTGGCCATATGCAGCTTGAATTTAGGCCACTTCCTGTAAATCTGCCAAAAACTGAACTGTCATTGACCATGCTGACATCCACTCGATCTGCCTCAACAAACCTCAGGTGGGAGAAAAAGTCCACTGAACAGTGACTGCAACCATTCAGCTGGAGTCACTGTTCAGATATTATGACAGCCATGACAGTTGGCTGCCAAAATACAATAGACAGCAGTGAGAGGTTCATCAGCATTTATCTCACTATGTATGGCCAGATTTAGTCTCAGTGGCTCACTGCAATTTCTCTATCTCAACAACTGTTGAGATGGTATAGCAGTCACAAAAAAAGTGCATGTTTTTCTGTATGCCATAGATATACATTGTAAGAAGAGTCAATAAAGCACAACCACTGTGTAGCACTGGAAAGCAGGCATGAAAAAGCATAGCCTGCATATGTACTGATCAAATATGGCTCTCCCTGTGTATACTGTATGTATCCCTGTGTAAAGGAAATGTAACTACATATTCCTGCAGTCTCAAAAGACCAAGACACGGCTGCCATCATGTTGAAGATCAACTCACAGGATCTAACAGGTAACAAAAACAGGATCCATTCTATTATTCCAGAAAGCATTAAAAGGATAAATCAACTACTCAGATGGGCTACATACATTGATAGAACTAAAAACACAATACTTATTACATACTGACATAAAGTTTTTTTTCTGGTGGGGGGAAAATCCTCTAAAAAAAATATATAAATAATAATAAAAAAAGAAATAAAAATACAAATATTTATAATTAATAATATAATATATATTAATAAAAGGTATCAATAAAACAATGTATATCCCAATCTACATTTAAACCTAATGGAGCATAAGATTTTAATTCATACAGCCATTTCATCTCAAGTTTAGAAATTTCTCTTCTACAGTGGCATCCTCTCCAATGAGGTTGCAATTTAGTAATTGACATAAATTTGAGGCCCCTAGAGTCTCTATTATGATATTGCCGAAAATGTGTTGACAAACTATGTTTTTTAAACCCTTTTTTTATATTGTAAACATGTTCCTTAAGGCGATCTCTCAGCCTTCTAGTAGTCCTACCAACATATATTTTCTGACATCTGACATGGACACTCCAATAGATATACAATATATTTAGATTCACATGTCATACATGTATCAATATTTGTATTTTTATTTCTATTATTATTATTATATATATTTTTTGTTTAGTTTTGGATTCCCCCCCCACCAGAAAAACTTTATGTCAGTATGTAATTTATTATTGTGGTTTTAGTTCTATCGATATATGTAGCCCATCTGAGTATTTGATTTATACTTTTAATGTTTTGTGCATTAATAGAGTGGGTCTGGTTTTTGTTACCTGTTCCTGTGAGTTGATCTTCAACTCTTCAACTTCAAGCCATGTCTTGGTCTTTTGAGACTATAAGAAAATGGCGCCAATACCAGATATGATGTAGTTATACTTCCTTTAGACCACGAGAACATGGTGCTGAGACCGAAAGTGACGTCTCAGCATCTGTATAGATGGACTACATTATGATGCCACTGTTACTTGTTAGTGTGTGACCCACTGAGGACGCGCTGTCACGCGAAATGGAATTGGGTTGTTAGGTGTTATTGCTGGATGTTGTGCCGCCATTCCAAGAGTCTGACAGCCCCTTATGTAAGTGAACACACAGCGGTTTATTTGCTTTTAATCGGCAATTTATTTGTGTATATATGCACTTTATTAAAACTACTACACTATGAGAGATTTGTTGGTGGGTTTTGAAGGATGAGAGTGCATGTACTGACACCTGGTGGAGTGGGATATGAGGAGTACTATCAAGCTTCCTGATATACTGAAGGATTGCACCTTGGGAATTTATTATCATACAAACGCTATTGCTGTTTTATTTTTAAATGGCAACATCTTCTGGTGAGTTTTCATTCAACCCATTGGTGGAGGTGACAGGTCTGTTGTTCCTGGATCACTGGGTGAAGATTTTGTTTGCAGTGGACAATGGGACTAGCCTATCCATTATATCATAGTCCACAATCATTGATTTGAACATCGATGGACTGGGGATCTGTCAGGGCAGGAGGAACGGAAAGGCAGGCCTAACAATGTAACGCACTGGCTGATGACAACCACCACCCACAGACCGAAGTCCCTCAGGGCGCGGAGTCTAAGTCCCAGGCTGCCCTTCACCAGGGCCCCTGATGGTGGGGATGGACTTGACGCAGCCAGGAACCAGGTCGCGGCCCCCGAGACACCTCAGCTGTGGTAATGGCCGCCGCCAATGGCGTGTAGCTGGTGGAAGAGACAAAAGAGTAGTCAGACAGGCCTGGGTCAACAACAACAGGACAAAACAGTACAGGACAGCAGACGAGAATCACAGGTCACGAGCCGGGTTCAGCAACAGAGGGTCAGATCAAAGGAGAATACAAAGAATAGTCAAGTCACAAGCCGAATCAGAATACCAGGAGAGTCACGAGAGTCAGAACAGAGTATTAGTAACACAAAGACACAAGACACAAGTGCAAAGAGCATGTGCGGGCCACAGGCTTATATGTCATCAGCCACGCCCCTCTGGGGGGTGGACCTCAGAGACCTGAAGGCATAAAAAGGATTCCCACCATGCACAGCAGAATCCAAGATGGACACCAGCACATGGAGTAACATAACCTCAGGGAAAAGGTAGGACCTTGACAGGATCAGATAAGTCCTGCCTGGCGAGCTGAAAGGAAGAATCCTAAGGAAGCAAGGAGACCCCAAACTGTGAAGAGGGATAATCCCATCCATCTCCAAGTCCAATTAAAGGGACACAAGCCTTATATGACCTCACTTAATGGTTTAGTCATATATGCCAGGTGAGAGCACAACCGGTGAAGGTGTACACAGTTTTATGATTGGTGGATGGCATGCAAATCATTTCTTATCACATCACTAGAAGGAATATCAAAGTCACGGATTGATTAAGGACATTTATGCAGCCGAAGCATGATTGCATTATCACATTTAATTTGTTGCTGGACTGTATTTAATTTATTTTAATTTTAATTAATTTATTTAAAAACCTTTCTTCACTCTTTATTGTAATTGTTAGTGGAGCGCAACACTGTTTATGATTTTTTTGGTTCACATACGACACACTGGGTATGAGTATGTGTAGAGTGTAGGCGGCCCACTTATTTCAATTTCATTCACATTTCTATTGGTTTCTTTTTATGTTTATTTGTATTAGCATTATTCATAATATTGATTTAATACATTTAATACTATGATGTAAGAATACTTTCTTACATCATAGTAGCTCACAAGACCCTACGTTTTAATAGGCAGCAGATGTATTCTCTGCCCCACAGCTGCACGTATACAAGGGGTGTGTATAGAAGAAGGGGGGGATGGTTCTGCGCTAACAAACTCAGGGGAATCTAAATAAACTAAAGATAGTGAATGACCACAAAAAACATAACACATGTAGAAGACTATATAGACACCATAATGCCACTAGTGTTTATGCTGTGTATTTTTGTGTCTGTGTTCACTTATTATTGATTTGTCCTGACATTTATATCATCCAATTTTTATTTCCCACCATTAGATATCACCTTTTGGGCTCTCCTGTTATTTGTTCATCATCCACTATTATATTTTTTCCATTGACTCTTATATTACATATTTTTTTCTTTTAGTTTCCCAGCACATGTTTGGAGTCTAATACGTGCATATGTGTGTTTATTTTATATCTGTTAAAGCAATAGTGGCATTATTGAGTTCATATAGTCTTATACAAGCGTTATGGTTTTATGGTCATTCACTATCTTTAGTTTATTTAGATTCCCCTGTGTTTGTTAGCGCAGCACCATTACTCCTTCTGCATTTTCTCTCTTTTAGTATATAGTTGGGTGCTTGCTGCTTTCTTAGATCCTATCATCAATGTGCAGTGCTATCGCGGGAGATTTTTTCCTATTTTTAAGGGGTATGTAAAAGTGTGGCTGCTGGGTGGGGAATGCCTCTGAAATGGTTGATTATCTGTCATCTTTCACAGCTAATCAACCAAACCCACCTGAGCACATCACTAATCTTTCAATGTGTAGAGTCTTTAAGAGACAGTTGGCTACTACTTTGATAGTTTTGAAAGAACATTGTCACTGTGTAGTTGTACAGTGACAGAATGCAAACTTTTGAGCTCACCATGGAGACGTTTGGTAATTATATTACAGTTAGCTTAGCTAGAAAGTGAAAATGAACTGTCTTATCACACATGTTGATGTTCTAATGTCAAAATTATAATTCCACTAGTGATTATTGAACTTGTTGCTCTGTTTGCTTTAACCATTACATTTTCAGTATGAAACCACTGAATAAAGTTTTCTGTTATCTACAATTGTCTCACTCACTGTGTTATGAGATTTCAAGAGTTTTGTGATACTTGGTTAGAGCCGTACACATATACTCATCAAAGCCAACAATTATAGATGCACTTCAGGGATATACAGCACGGTATATGAAAAAATGAAAGTGAGAGGACAAAATTGTATTTTTTTAAAGGAAATGAAAGGAAAAGCAATGACCATATTCAAGCCAAGGATCCCATATTTTGTAAAATAAATTAGTACTACTCTTGTTGATAAAGTTAATGTTTTCTAATTTAATGCAATCAGCTGTAAACACCAGCCTTGATATAAGTCAAT